ATTCAGGGCATTGTGGAAGATCTTTTACATAATCCTCAAGACAACTACGGTGGTATATATGTCCACAGATGAGTATGATAAATGGTTTTTTAAGTTTGTACAAAAAAAACTCTTCTTTACACTTTGAGCATGGATCTAATTCTAGAACTTCAACACCTTCTGCAATAACCTCCAGGGAGCTGTTTTTAAGGATATTTAAAGCAAGGTTTTTAAGACATGAAACATTTTTAGGCGTTGGGTTAGTAGACATATTCAAGAATAAAATTTTTATGGTTGAAAGTTGAATACAGTATAAAGGGTTATAGACAGATAAGTATTGCCGTTAATTATATACTTTGTTCATTTTTATACATTAAGCACTTTCACAACTAACAAAACTAATTTGCAGATTCTATTAAGCTAATTTCAGATTTGGCGATCTGTTCATTCACGAATTATTTAGTATGGGGAGAGATCGCTAGATCATCGGTAGCAATTGCGAACGATTTTTTAGCTTATGGCTAAGTGCTATTAGCATATTTGCGAACTCCTCCAAAATTAGATCAGGTTTAGGTCTCAAGTCAGAGGTATTCATAAAATGGCTAGACTTGCATTTCTTCTTTCGAGAATGATTGTGAGAATTGAAGTCAGATGAATTGGTTTCTGTTTCAGAATTAGAAGAATCAAATAGGTTATTTTTATTAGAGCTAGCTTTATTGCTATCCTCGATTAATGGGATACTCATATCATCTATTACAATTTTATTGCGGTGTTCATAGGTTTTGGGAGAAAACCCAAAGATAATTTTTGCTTCACGCATCCTTAACCATTCTTGTTCCAGGACCAAATCGAATGATGGATTTTTGCGAATTTGAAAGTCTATTACTTCAGTGCTATCTAAGCTTCGCCACTTTCCTTTATAGCGGAATTGTAAATCTAAGCATTTTATTTCACCTATTACATCTCTATAGAGATTCTCAGCAAGATCGCAGGTAGGACGTATTCCATAATCTTCTTTAAGCTTATCAAACAAGCATCTGCTAATAGTATTAGATTTAGATGTTGTATCTATTAACGCTTTTACTGGGATTTTTCCTTCGACAAGGTATTTATGAAAATGTTAATATTAAATATATTTAATACTGTATTTTTTTATTGCGTATTAATAAATAATTTAACATAGACAATGACTGAAAATAATAATATTGAATTAGTGCTAAAGCAACAGAGTGTGATTGATTCATGTTCAGAATGTCCAATTATCACTTATGAGATTGCGAAAAAATTAGGTTTCGAAAAAGATAAAAGTTTACCCAACATTACCGATAAAATGGTATCTGATATTGTTAAGCAAGTATCAGATAAAAAAATCTGGATCTCTCTTCACTGATTACTGGAGATAGTAAAGCCCGAGATTTGACAAGAAATTATAAACTTGATAGCAAACTCAGATATTTCCTGAAGAAATCGTACACCATGTAAGGCTAAAGAAAAAAGTTAATTTTTAACGATACAGCATCTGAGACAACATCCATATCTGAGTCTGGGTCTAGTTCTGAATCATTTAGTGACGAAGATTTTACTGTGGATGTGGCAAAAGCAAAGAAGCGTGATTAGTAATTAATTTATATCATAGATTCGGAATAGTTTTGTCTATTCAGGTGAAGTATTCCTAGGCCTGTAATTCACTATAACGTAATTTTGTACTGGAGAAGTATGGTTGTCAGGATTGTGACGTAGACATTCTCCAGCAATTGTATAAGCATGGGCCATATTCTTAGCCTCATGTACTACTACACTATAAACAGCACCTATTTTTCGTAAGTATTTAGGAATTAAATCATAATCTTTTAAGAATCTATTGAACCATTTAGTCCCTGGTTTACCTGGATCACCCATTCGACCAGAAGAAATAGCATTCTGTATCCAAGTGAGTAGTTTTTTAGCTCGTTTTTGATTCTTCTCCATAGATCTAAATTTTCTAGGTATATTTAGCTGTCCTCGATTCTTCACATAACCTACTACTCCAGCATCTGTAATACATAAAGATGTAAGTTCAGCTGGACGAATGCAGAGCATTATCATAACATCTGCGAGAGCTTGTAAATCAGGTAAAGTAGATATATCATAACTATCTAACCTTTCCTTAACTGATTCTAATGTAAAATGATCTGGATAATCAATTCTTTCAAATGCCTCAACAAATTTTTGTCGATTCTGCTGGATTTCATTAGCTTTTCTTGTAATTTCAGAAAGGTTAATAAAAATGTAAAATTGGCTAAAACGAATATTAACATGCATATGAATTACCAGTGTTCGAGTATTT